GGACCAGCTTAGGCCACGACCAGGGTCTGGTTCACAGGCGCTCCCGTCAGGCTGTTTGGGATTCCTGCCCCCAGGGGGGGGTACCCTAAACCCAAAACCCAGAGGAGGGGTTTCGGGCAGGGCTTTTAGGGGATAAAGAAGTTGGCATTTTTCGGGTCGGGCTGTAAACCTTAAGGGGGGTTTAGGCTTTAGTCCTAAACCCTAAACCCTAAACCCAAACCCTTAACCCGAAACCGCCCTAAAGGGCTTAGGAGGCTTTAAGGTGCTCGCTATCCTCGGGTTGAAAAAGCTCTGGGGTTTAGGGTTTAGGGTTTAGGGTTTAGGGTTCAGGGTTTAGGGTTTAGGGTTTAGGGTTTAGGGTTTAGGGTTCTGGGTTTAGGGTTTAGGGTTTAGGGATTAGGGTTTAGGGTTTAGGGTTTAGGGTCCTCCAGCCGCGGGGATGATGTGAATGGCAAAAATGGCGGCCATCGGCAGCATGATCTTCGAGTGTTCGTAGAGTCCTGCAAAGCTGGCTCGCCAACATCCCTGGAAGCCTGAACCCCCCCCCCCCCACCCCACCCCATCCCCTAAATCCTCAACCCTAAGCCCTTAAACCCTAAACCCTGGAACCCTCAGCCCTAAACCCTTGCACCCGAAACCCTAAACCCTGAACCCTGAACCTTTGCACCCTAAACCTACACCCCTCAACTTCATCAAAAGCTGCCGCAACTTGAACTTGCCCTCCTCCCTGCCTCGGTCACCCAAACACAAGGCGAAGATGAAGAGAATCTCCTGGAGGGGGTGGTGTCTGGGGTTAAAAGGGGTCTGGGGTTAAAAGGGGTTTAGGGCTTAGGGCTTCGGGTTTAGGGTTTAGGGTTTTGGGTTTAGGGTGTAGGGTTTAGGGTTTAGGGGGGGGGGGGGGGCACTGGTTTTGGGGGGTCCCTAATCTCAACATGAGCTTGCTGTCGAGTGGCCAGGGAGACGCCCATGGCCGTGTGCGGAATAAGAAAAAGGTCCTCGTTCGGAGGAGCTTAGGGTTTTGTGGGAGCTTAGGGTAACGGAATTCCCAAAGCAGCGTCTGTCTTCTGCAAGCAAGGGGCCTTGGCGCATTGCAACTTGTACTTCGACGTGATGCCGAACGCCCGGTAGAGATGATACTGCCTGAGCCGTTCGAGAACACGAATCGCAAACCATACCAAGGTCTGATCTCACTCACCTCAAGACATGTGCAGGTCCAATACTCGCAGCAGCTGCAGCCTAAACCCTAAACCCCAAACCCTAAACCCTAAACCCTAAACCCTAAACCCTAAACCCTAAACCCTAAACCCTAAACCTTGCAGCCCGGCAGCGTGGTCAGGCCGGAACATTGCTTCAGACGGTCCGGCTTGGCGCATTCTACAGGATCAAAGGTCACATCGGTCATCGGCTCGGTCTCCTTCACACAAGAAGGACGGAATCTTCTCAGTCTTCCGAACCCTAAACCCTAAACCCTAAACCCTAAATCCTATGTGAGATCTCTAAGGCAACCCGGGGATTTACCTGGGAACTCCACCCCATTCTCTTACTGTTGGTTAGCAGGGGGGGGAATGAGGCACCCTGTCTGTACAGTATCCCCCTGCATATACCCAAGGGATTATGCAGGGTATATATAGGGGATATAGGGTATATATGATTCAGCCCCGGCGGGCCCCCCCCCCCTCCCCCCTACCCCCCCCCTCAATGGTACCCCCCCCTCCCCCTGTGGTGTGGTTGGGGGTTGGTTTTAGGGTTTTAGGGTTTTAGGGTTTAGGGTTTACGGTTTAGGGTTTAGGGTTTAGGGTTTTAGGGTTTTAGGGTTTTAGGGTTTAGGGTTTAGGGTTTACGGTTTAGGGTTTTAGGGTTTAGGGTTTAGGGTTTTCCCCGCGGATGGGGTACTAAGATGATCCCCCCCCCTGTGGTGTGGTTGGGGGTTGGTTTTAGGGTTAGGGTTTAGGGTTCAGGGTTTTAGGGTTTAGGGTTTAAGGTTTAAGACTTAAGGTTTAGGGTTTAGGGTTAGGGTTTAGGTTTTAGGGTTTAGGGTTTAGGGTTTAGGGGTTTAGGGTTTAGGGTTTTTAGGGTTTAGGGACCGTAGAGTATACCATGGGCGGGGGGGGGGGGGGATACCATGGGGGGGGGGGGGGGGCCAGGACGCTCGACGCTGAACCATATATACGGTATCTCATTCCCTCATTCCCTAAACCCTAAACCCTAAACCCGTATCTCATTCCCTCATTCCCTAATAACCAACAATAAGCATATGCAGAGGAGGCTCCCAGTAGAAGGGCATCTTGCAGAGGTTCCAGAACGCGAAGCAGCCCAATATGAAGGCCAATCCCTTAGGGTTTGAGGGTTTAGGGTTTAGGGTTTAGGGCTTAGGGTTTAGGGTTTAGGGTTCAGGGTTTAGGGTTTTGCGCCTTTTCCCAAATGGTGTGTTGAGTTTCCGGGTCCGGGTGAGACGTCCGTGCTAGTTCAGTTCTTGCGGTGGACGGCATGCTTGCTGCAAAGGCGGATCGTCGGACCGCTTATTGCAGGCCAACCAACAAATACCCACCCTCCGCCGTTCATGAGGCGGCCCAACCACCCAAACCTATTCCTTTTAGGGTTTAGGGCCTAAACTTTAACATATACGTACATCTTTATAAGAGGATGGCCTTGCTTACAGCGCAAAGCTACTTGGGGCTGTGGTGGTGTTGCTTTGGGGTAAAATGGAGGGGCCCCACAGCCATCGATTTCAGTACTAAAAAATCGCATTTTTCATTGCGGGCCTGGCAAATGTAACAAAAACCTACACCTCTTGCAGCTGCGCGGCATATCGAAGAGCCGCCGCCATGGCGGAGCAACTCTCACAAGGCCGCGGAAGGAGCTCCGGAAGGGCCAAGTGAGCTCTGAGTCCGATCCCCCGGGCAACCCCCAGCTTCTTCAAAAGCGATGGAGGTTTCGGCTACTACTCCTTGAAGCCTGACGGCTGCCAGCCGTCGCCTCTGGGGTTTAGAGTTTAGGGTTTAGGATATAGGGTTTAGGGTTTTGGGATTAGGGTTTAGAGTTTAGGGTTTAGGGTTTAGGGATCAGGGTCTAGCGTTTAGGGTTTAGGGTTTTGGGTTTGGGGTTTAACGTTTAGGGTCTAGGGTTTATGAGCCTTAGCTAGTTGAAGAAAGAGAGCGGACAGCCACATGGTCCCTCAATATGGGCCCTTCAACGGGGACTCCTTATATACCGTTCAGGGTTTAGGGTTTGGGGTTTATGGTTTCGGCGTTAGGTTTTAGGGTTCAGGGTGTAGGGCCCTCAACCCCCAGGGCCCATAGATCAGAACCCTTTAAAGGAGGTAAAGGACCGCATTCAGGGCCCATGAAAACGTCTGCAATCATGGGCTCCCGCTCTGGCAGATGAAGCACATCTTGAGGATTCTTGAGGCTTAGGGTTTGGGATTTAGGGTTTAGGGTTTAGGGTTTAGGGTTTAGGGTTTAGGGTTTAGGGTTTAGGGTTTTGGGTTTAGGGTTTAGGGTTAGGGTTTCGGGCTTCGGGTTTAGAGTTGAGGGTTTAGAGGGTTTAGAGGGTTTAGGGTTTAGGCTTTCGGGTGCGATGTGCTGCTCTGCCGCATACTGTAGCTACCTGAAGAGACCCCTGCTGTGAGTTTGCTTAGATGAGTAGGCACTCTATATCACTCCATGACAGGTGCTGACAATGAGAAACAGTACACGGTAAAGCCGTGCGTGGGTGATGTGTGATCCGCGTCCTGCGAAGAAGGCTGCCGAACAAAAACAAGGCCTAGAGCTTGAACAATAGCCGAACTAACCCTTGGCAAAAGTTGCCCAGCTCCACAAGAAAAGAGGGCCACAAAGAAACAAAAAAAAACAAGAAAAGCAGACTGCTAGTGACCCCTCGGACTTTCGCGCGCGAGCACAGCAGCCAAGTCCCAGGAGTCTCTGGCTGCGGAGCCTTCGGCGCCCGACGGCATGTTTACAACGCCGAGGCACCTCAAACTCCCGAAGCTCCGCGGAAGCTGCGCGGGGGAAGCTGAGCGTGCGTAGGGGACCGGTGCACTGTGGCAACTCTGGGCTTACAACTGCCGCACGGAGTCACAAGAAGGCTTCGCCTGAGTCACGTTGAGGAGTGTAAGCGGATGTAAGCGGAGCATCAGCCGTCACGAGAAGCCCATGGCGCGCGTTTCTGGAAGAGTCGGAGATGCGCACACGGCGTGCTGGGAAGCCTGGGTGCCTCGAAGCCGGGATGCAGCGCCGGGACGGCTGCGAGAGCTTTTTGGCCGTAGCCGTGCGAAACGGGCACTTTTCAGGTGCGCAAGACCTGGGCATCAAGAGGTCGCTTCTCTGTGCAATGCCATGGAAGAGGCTGCATAGAGGCATAGATAAGGCTCCCTTTAAAGGGACTCAAAGCGAGGCCACGAAAAACCTGAGGCTCCCAGAGAGGCCAGCTGCCACGAAGCTTCAGGTGACCTTTTGAGAACCGGAGGCTTAGCCCTCCCTCAGGCAACTTAGGGACTTAGGGGGCATTGCAAGAGAAACCCTGTGGATCGTTCAGGGTTGGAGCTTGGAGCGTTCACACATGCCCTCGTCGGACACAAGCTTGAACAAGCAACGCCTCATGGCCTCATGGCCTCATGGCTTCATCGCCTCTCCGGAACAGCACCCGGGGTCAAGCTAAGCCAACTGAAACCTCTGAAATTTCGAGGACGCATCGGATTCCATGGGATCCTGCTAGGGATGTCAGGGAGGGCCCTGAACAGAAGCCAACGGTCAAGCCCATGTTGTGGTGACACTGGGCCAGGAGCGCGGAGTCCACGTCAGTCCTTCCCACGACTCTCGCAACGCCTGCGCCACGGTCTTCACATGCACATGCCCGGGATGCGCACAACTTGCGGTCCAGGGCCACACTGATGACGGTCCCTGGCCGAAGGCAAGCAGCCCAGGCAGAGAGCCACGGCCCTGTGAGGGTGGGGAGCTCTGTAACACAAGGAGCGCAACACAGAGTCACAACAGATTCCCTGCTTCTCACGGGGTGGTAGGGCGCTTTCCACACGGAAGTCCGAGCTCCCAGGCTCAAGCGAGAGAACGACGGGAGCTGCTCACGCAGATCATGCCCTCAACCCTTTTCGCACAGCAATCCGCTCCAAGACCAGCATGGCGTGAGACTCCTCAAAGGAAGCTACGGGGTCATGAACTTTTTAGGATTTTGGGGGTCGAGGTGTCTTTGCTCGAAATGTCACACATTTAGAACATTTGAGATATTCATGGCAAGTCAGGGAAAAAAGACGCTTCTGGGATGGCCCCCGTAAGTGTGCCAAGGGTTCCGGTGAGCAGTATGCTTCACCAGCACCCTCCTCAAAGGCCGCCCCCTGCAGCATCTTCGTGGCCACTGGCGCACAGCGCGAAGCGCGTCGCGCTTCGCACCCTTGCGAGGCGCATTGCGCAGAAGGGCTCCGGAGGATGCCAATCTCGAAGGAGCGTGGAAGGAGCCTGGACCTCTTCACCCTCCTTGAGAGGAGCCCAAGAGTGAGAGGGCCAGGGCTCCCGTCACGCCGGGAACCTCTGCTCGGGGCTGACAGACCGCGGCTTTTCTGCTCTTGGGATGTGAGGGTCTATGAACATCGCCTATGCGAAAGCTGTGGCGGAAAGAAGCCTGCTCTTTGGGGAATGCCGGGGGGATGCTCAAGAGAGGGTGGCTCCGAAAGGTGCAACAAGCTCCAGCCACTCCTCTCCAGGGAGCGACCCACGGCACAGGCCTGCCAATGCTGCAGGAAGGCTCGGCTGCTTCACGGGCCTTGCTCAGCGGGGTTCGGCCGCAGAGCGAAGAGAGATTCATGACACAGGAGGACACAGGAGGACACAGAAGAATACATCGGATGCATACGGGGAGACCCTGAAGTTCTCCAAACCACGCAGGCTCGTGATGCCCGCAAGGCCGTGCGAGCACTAAACGGAAGTTCAAAGCTTCAAAGTCAAAGTGCACATTTGCTCTATGCTGAGCGTATTCTTTGATAAATCTTCAAGAGAACTTCTGACCACGTCCTTACGAACCAGCTCTCTAGGCCTAGATAAGAAAGCAAAAAAGGGCCCAGTGTTTAGGGTGCTGGAATGCCATCCTTGCTGGCCACCAGCTAGCTGAAGCTTTAGAGGGGCGATTCCTCCACAAGCTCCGAGCGGCGCATCCTCCCGAAGCCCGGATGGAGTGGCCCGTGTGCCCGCCCGAGCTGACATGATCGTCCCCAGCCCTGCTCCACTTTTCACACGCCCAAGCAAGAACCTACGCAAGACTCTTGGATAATTTCACGGGGGCCCTCAGTTAGAGGGCAGAGTCGGACACCTGGCAAGCGGGGCAACGCAGGGCTTGGGCCACGGCCTCTCCAGGCGAGGTCAAGATGCAGGGGCTGCGAGAGGTCCTCCCAGAGCCCTGTGACGAAGGCTGGGTTGCGTGCCGTGCCTGCGCAGCGTGCGGGATTGCTGGAAACCGTTGCTCCGGCCGGTGTGCTTTCTTTGGCCAGGCGGCCCACCCAATGAAGGTCCCAACTGCACGGATAGCAAACGAAGAATGGGGACGGGTGCTGTGCAGCAGCGGCTGCTGTGGCTGCTGAAGGAGGCAAGCAGCCCATGACTCGAACGAGAAGCTGCTGTGCCCGACCTGCACATGGCCTCTCTACCGCAGCTTCCCTGCGCCCATCCTTGAGGAGACTTTGGTGCATGGAAGTTGTGACTAGGGAATGGCTGTGTGCAAGAATGTTCGGAGCGGGTCTAGGCCACTGGAGCCGCAGGAGCTCTCACAACAAGCAATCAGCGCTCTGGGACTTCCGCCTCCCCGAACTCGGAGTACGCTCTTCACCCCAAAGGTCGTGCTCAGAGCCACACCGGCAACTCTGACCAGCCCTCCCAGCAGCTTCCTGGCCCGAAGTCGGAGAGCAAGGTGTGTGCCTTGCCTTCATTCTCCAGGCAAGTTGAGATCTGACACCCTAGCACTCCAGCAATTTAAGCCGCCGGAAAGCATGATGCGCCGGTGGGTCTTCGCAGCCTTCGCATCTTGTCGCCAACCTTGCACCTGCAATGAACTTGATTTGGCAAGGCAGGCGGGCGTCTACGTGGCGAGCCTGCGCAGCTCTGCAAACTCTACAGCATTCTACAGCATGCTACAGCACGGCTGCCGCGTGGCGAGCCCCAAGCATCCACACAGCTTCGCCCAAGGCTCGAGCGTCGATGTTGCCAAGCATGCCACGCAGCATGCGGGCAGCGTGCTGAACCTCATGCCATCTGAATCTGTGCCGCTGCACGGCCACCAACGGTCCGCCGAACGCCCACTGCAGCTACAGCCATGGCAATGGCAGGGACCGAGAGGAGCGGCATGTGGGCGACTGCAGTTGGGCTCAGATCACGGCAGGGCCATGGGAAAGTGTGCCATGTGGGCCCTTGGCTTGGAGGGGCTCAACATCTGCGCTCTCGGAGCTCTCAGGGCAGAGCTCGGCAGAGCCGGCAGGCCAGCAGTCTCAACTTGGCACCCAGCTTGAGGCACTCAGGAGGCAAAATTCGATGTCTTTCATGGCTTTCTCCTTTGGAAGAGCGCTGTTGCTAGTGGCCCCCGGGGCCTATTCTCGATGGGTCGAAAACTCCTAGAAGCTAGACTGCCTGCAACGCACAGCACAGCACAACTTTGTGACTTCAATGTGGAGCTCGAACAAAAAGCTGAACACGCTTGGTAACATGCTTGAGGATATAGAACGGGATCTGAGACAAAGAGACGGGCCCCGCGCTTATCAGGCCGACTCCTCTGAAAGCTGGACGTTGAGGAAATGCAGTATAGGATCAAGTTCAGTGAATTTATGTGAAGCTCCCTGCAAAGTTGACATCCACAGAGCACAACTGGCACTGGAGCTCACAGCTGTCAGACATCTTTCGCGACCGTCCTGCGGGACACTGCGAGACGCAGAGAGCACGGCTGCTATGTTCTGCAGCACGGGCCAAGAGAGCACATTGTGGGATGCTCCCACTTGTTGCTCTTCCGTGCTCTGCAGCGCACATGCTCGGTGAATGTTTGGGGGCTTGAGTCTAAGCTCACTGCAGACTAGTACTTCACGCGTCAAACGACGAAGCCTGTACCTGCACTGCGCAGCAGCTCTTTGTAGCAAGAAAGGCAGTGCCACGTGTCAGCAACCTGTCCCTGCAGCCTCAACCTTGACAATCTCAGGCCTGGAGAGCGAAAATTTGCAGCCTTTCTGCAAGGCGCTTGCGTAAAATTCCAGACGGCGCATGGTAAAGGCCCACAATGGCCAAAGGTCTGCTTGGGTCTTCCTAAGCTCGCAGAATTGTGGCAAGGACCCGGGTTGCACAGGGCAGCTCCTCGGACCGGTTGACCGGAAGCAACTCCCACGGGGCAGAATATTATGCAAAGCCCAGGCACAGGTTGTTCCATCATCTCGATTCCAGGACGAAACCCAGCAGGCCGGTCCAACCGGAACTCTTTGTCTGCGCTGCTCCAAGTTTCACGTCAGCTCGCCCTGCATGCCTTCGCAGCGTCTCCAGCGCGCGCAGTGCGCGCAGTGTGGCTTGAGGGCTCTGCCCGGCCCAGAGCCGGCAAGCTGAAAAGAAACCCGCCGAGATGTGCAGAGATGTGCAGCTTCGGCATCCATGGAATCAATAGGCTTTAGAGCCCTAGGCTTCAGATGCTGGGGTGCCTGGGCAAGGATATTCTAATATCTATTGGTGAGCTCCCAGTCGCTGCAACTGCTCAAGGAGGCAGGGCAGGGCACGTTCAAGAAAGAAAGCCATCGGCGGCCCCTCCACCCATAACCCGAATTAGCCCAAGCGCCCTGTCCCAGAAGACACTCGTATCGCTACCACGCCTACCATCGCTTTAGCTAGAGTTCTGTGAAGAATTCTCTTTTCGGGATCCCACAGGGACGTGACGTAGCCGGGGCCTCCTGCATCACGGCGTTCGCGCAACAGGGCGCAGTCCCAAGCACCTTCCAAGCTGCCGCTGAAACTCCGACCCTGCACGAACTCTGCGTGCCTCTGCGCGGCTCTGCAGCCTAAGAGGCATGCAGGGTTCATCTCACGGCCTCTCTTCGGACCCAAGCTTGCTAGAAACCTACCCTGAAGGCTACTCTCGACTGCCTCAAAACCCTCGAGGGCCTGAAAGGCCTCAAGGGCCATGATCTGGTGGGCATTGAGCAGAAGAAGCGTCACTGAAGCACGACAAGCAGCGAGGTGCTGCGTGATGCAGGACAGTCAGCTGAACAGGCGGAGCACTTGGAGCCTACAGTTCTCAACTGGTTCTTGAGAGGTGTGCGAACTGCATCTTCAAGAAGATGGAGCGGCCTTGGGTAGCTTGGCCAACAAAGACGTGGGTGCCTTCAAACAGTGTTGGAAGCGACCTGTGGGACATACGCGAGCAGCAGCACCAGGCTGATGTGTTTAAAGCCTTCCTGTCTGCCTGAGGCACGCGAAATGCCTGGATCGACTAGTGCTCCCTTGGCCTCCGATGCATTCAATGCATCTTGGAACAACCGGAAGGCCACGTCGAGCTCCGAGCTGCCTTCTTGCGGTGGCATGCAGTGACATGGGCTGGTTGCATCCAGAGATGTCTGCCGGAATTCAAACAGGTCGGGCCCCAGCTAAGCCAGGAGACGCCAAAGGACCGGAAGCTTTAGGCATCCCACCTTTTTCGCTTTCGCCTTGCACATGCTTGCACCAAGACGACAGAAGATCTTCTCAAGGCCACTGTCTGGCTGCCCAGATTATTCTGAGTCTTGTTTGAGTGTGCAGTTGGGTTCTCTGCCACTTCCAACCGCGATGTTGCAAGAAGACGAGGCATCTCGCCGGTCAACAGCTCTTCATCCGCGGTGACGGATGGCACCGATGGCCCTGCCTGCACACCAAGTGCCGAGGCACCTGGGGCGTCCGTGCCCATCAGGTCAAGAAATATTGAACCTGGGTCGCAGCTCCCAGAAGTTGGATTGGGATGTACCTTGAAAGCCGGTAGACTATAAGGATGGGCCTTATATTTTGGGCAACTAGGCGTTTAAGGTACTTAGCTGATGCAGCCTTCTCGCACACCTGGGGTGCTCGTCGGTAGGGTTTCGGGGTTTCGGGAAAACCTGGCACTTTGGCCAACAAATCAAACCGTCTGATGATCAACACCTCCGAGACCAGCTGAGCACTCGGCCCACTTCGCCATCCCTGAAACTCGCCGAAGCTTCGGCACGGTGGAGGCTCCAGGCACACTCAGTGCAGCTCACCTCCTGACTCAGAGCCGTAACTCCTGACACCGGAGCACTCCTCGGCATCTCTGACTGTTTTGTACTGTCGCCCTGGTTCAGGGCGAAAGGGTTACTAGGCCATAGGAGGTCATCCTTGACTTTAGGGAAACTTTAGGGGCTTTCGAGGGCAGCTGACACCTGAGCATACCAGACCTAGGGTGTTCTGGGTGGCCTTCCAGGTGTCTCTCCAGAGGCGCTGTGCGCAGTATCGTGAAGCCAAACCGCAGCCTGCAAGGAGCCACAGGCGCTTTCACAGCGGGACGGTCCAGCCGCCGACTGCGTTCCCACGCGCGGCTCAAGCCATCGCAGCACTTCACTCGATGCAAGGCCTCTTTCAGCTGGCGTGGGCCTCAGCAGCGTCCCGACTAGGCGTTCACGAGCGTTCCGTGCTTGGACGCAAGGGAGCCAGTGCCAGAGCCCATGGGCCCATGAGCCCGCTGAGCAGCAGGATGCAGGAAGTGTCAATGCGAAACAAGCTGGCATCACCGAAGGCGGCCGACGTGCTCGACGCTGAGCGCCTGCTGTGAGCAGCGTTCCTACGAGGACAGGGCAAAAGCCCTCACAGCCTGTGAGTGTGCGCTTCAGAACAGGAAGCTCAAGGCACAGCCGACTGCATGTTCGGTGGATCGTTGCTTCATTTGGGCTGCAGGTGCAAAAACAATCGAAAGCACATCGTGAAACATGGGGCACGTGCACTGCTTGGTAGGACCGCCCCGGCCCGCTCTCTCGAAGCCCGAGTTCGCCTTAGGGAGCTTAGGGTTTGAGATTTAGGGTTTAGGGCTTAGTGTTGAGAATGGCGCTGCCGACGTCTCGGCTGTCTTGGCTCTGCAAGTCGCTGCCAGCATCCTGGTTTCCGGTCCTTGCAGCCCGTCGGCATCAAAGGCTTAGATGCTGTTCTCATGTGGCAGCCACACCTCTTATACCCCCGAACACATGATTTCGCTGGGCTGCTTGGCAAGCACACTTGCCCAAAAACATCCCACTGTGATTGCTCAAGCCGAGCAAATCTAGACCGCCATGCTCTTTATCTGTCGCGTTTGCTGCGGGGCCCATGCTGCAGGCGAACATTGCGATGGATATCTTGGTGGACACGCTGGAAGCACATCAACAAACTTATAGTGTTCAACGGGTTAGGGTGCCAGCGGCGGACTCTCACACCGCTCCTTGTGCAAACCTGCAAGACATTGCAACACAACGCAAGACAACGCAAGACACTGCCTTCAAGGGTGGTTCTGACCTCCTTTTGCCCCGGAGCAATGGACTGTGACCAACCTGTGACCAACGGAGTGTCTGGAGGTTTCGGCAGCCACGCGCCGCTGGGTGTCCAATCGCTGCCTTCAGCAGACTTGACAAGCGAAAACTTCCAAGAAACGGACCTCGGGGTCCATAGAGACCGGCAACTTGGAGACCCATACCTTTGATCAACCCAAGTCGGAGCA